TTTTCCAGCCTCCAAATGTACCTCAGAGAGGAAGCTGCACATTTGATTTTTTTTTTTTTTTTGGCTCCATATTAAAGAACAAAGCATGGGAACTGGACAGGCCCCTCTGTAAACAGAAAACACATGTTTTCTGAGAGAATGGTCTCTTCCTTTCCTGGTTTCTTCTCCCGTGGACAAAGGCCTTCTTAGGCCTCCCTGCTTCAAGAGCAGGGAAGCCTCAGACCCAGGGCTGACAGGAGGTGATTATTTTTTGCCCCAACTCGGCACAACACCCACATTCTTAAAAGGGATGTTAATGGATCCACTCAGCAATGGGGTCGGCCTAGGGTGTGGTCCCAGGAAGGAAGCCCCTCAGGAACCTGAACAGGATTTGGGTGGGAGGAGGAGGAGACTGGACCGTTTGTATCTTCCAAGCACTTGAGAATCATCTTGGGTTCTGCTTGGGTTCTTCAGATGAACATGCGTTTCTTGGTGCCTACTAGCCACACACAGGGGCAGAGACCTCTCTAACTCAGAAGAGAGGCTGGGGCCTGATGTCTGCAAAGAGTAGGCACACTGAGACTGAGTACGGACTGCTCTGTGACCTCAAACAAGTTTCTTAACCTCTCTGAGCCTTAGTTTTCTCATCTGTAAAATAGGGATAAATATTTGGTTGTTGAGGATTCAATAAGATAATGAGTATAGCCCTGTCAGACACAAAACCAATTAATAAGTGAAAGAAGTCAAACTATGTCTCAGTTTTGGTGGTGAGCTGTTTCCACAACCCCCAGAGTGGCCTGAGAACCCTCTGCAAATACCCAGGATTCCCGTACTTCACAGAGCACCTCCACATCCTCCGGGCACTGGATGAGCGCCGGGGCTCAGCTACCCCCAGACTAGCTGCGACCCCTCTTTGGAAGCCATCATCTCAGGAGCAGATCATTCTTTCGAGTCACCCCAGCAGCCTGATCTTTGTCCTCAGGGGAGATTTGATTTGGGGAAATAACCAGATGTCCTTTGGGCCAAGTTGGCTGAGAAGACGTACGGAAGCCAAGCCAGGGCCCCCTGTCCAGTGCCAGAATGTGCCACAACTGCAAAGTCAGGAGACCTGTGGCTCCCAGCTCCGAAGGCAGTTTGGAAGGAGAATCTGGACCCATCGTCTGGACTGGCCGCCGCTGGTGTTGGTGGGTGTGAGAGTGCCAACGTGCGGATGTATGAAAATGGAGATAGTCACACACAACCGGGCTCGGAGGACAAACCAAACCAAAGCCAGACTAATTAACACGAGGCTGCCTTTCATCTCTCAGCTCACAATTTGATTTTCATGGAAATCTTTGTGGGAAAATTCCAAGCGTTTCTGACACAGGCAAATGCGTGAGAGTGAGGCAGGAAGTGGTCCTGGAAGAGTACAGGGCTCAGAGATTGGGGCTTCCTCCCAGCTCTGTACTTAAGCAGCTCCATGGCCTCTGGCTGATCATTTCATCTCTCTAGTCCTCAGTTTTCCGATCTGAACAACGGGGATAGTGATGCCTATCCTTAATATGAGAAGTAAATGGGGGGAAAATGGATATGAATGTGCCTAAAAGTCCTGACCTTGTGTGGCAAGGGCCTTAAAAACATGGACACCATTTGACCTAACACTCCTGCTTCTGGGAATTTATCTTCAGGAAAGCAGCATAGCCACACATGTAACAGTCACTATAAAGATGTTCCAGAGGCACTTTTTTTTTTTTTTTTTCCTGCACCGCGGGGCTCGAGGGATCTTAGTTCCCCGACCAGGGATCTAACCCATGCCCCCTGCAGTGGAAGCTCGGAATCCTAATCACTGGACCACCAGGGAATTCCCCCAGCAGCATTATTTATAGTAGCAAAAGCTTTAAAGAGACTACATGTCCAACAATAGTGGCAAAAATTATAGGATGGACTACTGCACAGCTCTCGGGAGTGCTCCAGGCAAGAAATACACAGGCCACGCCCACATGATGGGTACTTAACCTGTGTCAGTGACATTGTTAAAAAAAAAAAAATTAGCATTCACAAGGTCTATTCACAATAGCCAAAACATCAGAAACAACTCCATTGTCCACCCACAGCCAAACAGGTAAACAAGCTGTGATAGGCCTACAACGGGATAATATAAAACAATAAACAGGAGTGAGCTGTTGATGGACGTATTGATAGACATAGATGAATGTCACCTATGCTGGGCGAGTCCACACTCTGTGATCCCATTTATGTTAAATAAAGGTAAAACATCTATAGTGGTAGGATTCAGAAGATTCCCTGCCAGGGGACATTTTGTGGTGATGGTATTTTCTTTCTTGATTGTACTGGTGGTCCCAGGGCTGAATACATTTGTCAAAACTCATTGAACAGTAAAGTGAAAGGGGTCTTATTGCATGGAAATTATACCTCAATAAAGTTGATTTTTAAAATTAATGGTATTTAGATTTTATTTTTCAAATCCTGGAAAGAATGAAATTTAATGACATAAAATGCTCAAAACATATTAAGCAAAAAGATTCAGAAATAACCTATAGTGTGATCACACACACAGAGTACATATACATATATGGTTTGGAAATATACCAGAATGACTTTCAACAAAATGTACCTGGTAATTATCTTATGGGTAATTTTTGTTTTCTTTTTTGTGCTTTTTCTGTATTTCCAAATTTTCTATAACAAACACTTTCCTTTTTATAAACAAATTGAATCAAAACAAACAGATCTCCTTTCCTCTCTTCCAGCTGTAGCAGGCCAGGGACACGGGACTGGGCTCTGGGACAGAACGACGACGATGCCCGGGTCCAGCGAAAGGGAGCTGCCTGGAAGGCGGTAATGGATGATGGGCGTGTGAGGGTGGAGCTCCCTGCCCCGGTCCTTTGGCCCAGTTTCTGTGCTGGGTTATTGTTGAGGGCTGCCATGCCCACTGGGCACTACGGATGCAGGGAGAAGTGTGGTCCCTGGGCTTGCTTGGGTGGCTGGGAAGCCAGACCCTCCTGTTTGGAGTGACAGGATCCTGTGGCTCCAAGGTCCCCTCCTGGACATGCCAGTCTCCCCTGCTGGTGAGGGTGGGTGGGGGTTCTGGTCTCTGCCCCCGTGCCACTTTCCCTGCTGCACAAGGCCCTCCTCGGTGAGACCTGCAGGGACTGATGGGGCAAGGGGGTGGCACGCCCGGTGCAGTGACTGAGCTGTAGCACGTCTCCTGTCCCTGCGGCCCTGGGAAGTTGGGGCTGTTGTTTATCACTACCTCTCCCTCCAAACTGGGGGAAACTGAGTGGAGAAATGACTTGCCCAGAGTCACCTGGCCGGCAGCCCCGGGCAGCTCAGACTTGACCTCACACCTGGATTCTCACTGCCTTCAAACTTCAGTTCCCAGGAGCTTCTGGGCCCCAAATAGCTCATTAATGCAGCATGGGTTTGGGGGTCAGGGGCTGTGTTTTTCCTGTGCCTGTCGTCTGCTCCGGGTTATTGTACAGTTTATAATCTACCGCTCATTCGGTGGACCCGTCAGCTGGGCTTAGCGGTTAAACATGAGTTTCTCTGAGAACAGGGCTCTGCCTGTGTTTAGAGCTGCTGGGACCCCCCCTCTCCCATCAGGCCTCTTCCCTCCAACCAGCTGGCCTCACGAAGGTGCCGAGGAGGAGACCTGATTGATTGGGTTTCTTTCCCCTCCCTGACTGAGCAGATTCTACAACAGACTGTGGAAATTAAAAATAAGAACCCGAAACTGTTAAAAAAATATTTTTTTAACTAAGTCACAAATGGGAAGGATGAGGCAGCAGCAGGTTAAGGACATTTTGTGATGTAGAGTTGCTATCAGCCAGTGCTTTTGTAACTGTAAATGTCACAATTTATGGTCCTTGGGAGCCGGTGGCGGCGGAGACTGGGCTTATACCTGCGTGCGAAGCTGCCCTGAGCTGTGGTCAGCCTGGATTTAGTTCACAACGTAGGGCCATTAGTTCTGCTCGGATTCTCCTGCAGGGCCTCACCAGGGTCCCCATTTAAAAATGTCCATGGGGTAAAAGAAAAAGTTTTTTAAGTGAAATGTATTTGTATGTCTCTTTATATAAAGAAATAAACTGTAATGTGAGTGGCCAAAGGTGGCTTTGGATTAAGAGGGACATGCTTACTTTCTCTTTCTCTCTCTCTAAGTCTCTCTCTCTCTCTCTCTCTCTCTCTGTATATATATATATATATATATATATATATATATATATATATCTCCAAACTTTCTATAACATTGTGTAGTCTGTATTGCTTTTATAACGAGAAGGGACAAAATACACTCTTATTAAAAGTAGTCAAAATTCACCTAAGCCTTCATGTCAAATAATATAACATGACAATCCACAGTATTTTTATTAAGTATCTGATATTCTGCCAAATTCTCCCACAATCCTGGCTCCTTAGAACACCCCACAGGTGGGAGTGTCACCCCATGCACACTCGAGCCGAGACCCTGAGTTGGTACACAGGGCCCACGTGGCAGAGCTGGGGACTGAACGTGGATAATTCCAACTCTCAGAGCTGTACTATTACTATAACAACTTCCTGCCCCTTCAAGGTGAACATGTTTCCTAAATACAAATATTTTATCTTGTTTAGATAGAATCTGAAATTATTTCTGTAAACAGACTTTAGTAAAAGAAATATAAAAATCATGTTTTGTTTTGTTTCGTTTTTAAATTTATGACCCTGTTAACAACAACCAAAGTAGGCAATGGCCCAGGACCCAGGGCAAAATAAAAAGGCAGGGCCCCTTGTTCAAAAAGGATTAAGAATTTTTTAAAAAAACAAGATCCTACTGTATAGCACAGAGAACTATATTCAATATTCTATGATAAACCATAATGGAAAAGAATATTTTTTTATTTTGGAAAAGAATATTTTAAAAAAGAATGTATATATGTATAACTGAATCACTTCGCTGTACAGCAGAAATTAACATAACACTGTAAATTGTTGAAAATATATTGATAAATAAAAATATTGATTAAAAAAAAAAAGAACTTTAAGACAGAGGCAGCGGAGCATAGAGCATGGGGTGACTGCACAGGCTACGTGCCCATGAAGCCAGGCCGAACAAGGTCTTGGCGGTTTTTCATGGAGCTAGGGTGACATCCCCTTTGGGGACAAACTGAGCACCAGTGACCACACATCAGAAAGCAAATGGGTGGCTTCAAGCTTCAGGAAGACGTGCGGTTCTGGATGCATTTTTCAGTCCTGGAAATACAAAGTGACTGCAGCTCACGAATGGAGTCCCCCAGTGAGGATGCCGTGGGAGAGAACAGGCAGCTTCCCTCCCGCAGAAAGGGCCCGGCCTCTGAGCAAGGGGCTTTCGTGTCAACGAGGGGTACCTACTTCAGGAGGCGCCCTGGCGCTGAGCCCCGATGGATCTTCAGTGTTCTGCTGGAGCCTGCACGGCTGACCAGCCAAGGTTTTGGAGATAAATGCTTGTTCCTGTGAAAATACCCCTTCTGGGAAACGATCTTGGACTTCATTGGCAGGTGGATTTTTCCCCAGATGAGGCAAACTGTGGGCCCTGGGGATGAACTGGCAGCCTAGGTACATGAGCTGACAAAGATCTGTGGCTCTGAACACCCGCTCCACACGCTGCCCCAGCCAGCCCCAGGATGACCTGCCCACCTCTGCCCCTTCTATGGTCTCAGCCCCATGGTAAGTTCTGAAGTTTCCAGGTGGATGGGTTGCATCCATCAGGTGCCCCCAGGCGCAGCCTCTTCTGTGAACTACTGCGGGCATCCAGGACCAACTCTAGAAAGAATCACATCTGAGAAATCATTGGAAGAGCAAACATCCACTGAGCGGAGAAGCTCTCCGGCACCTGGAGGGACGAGAGACAACATATCCCGCCCCCTACTCCAACCCCCAACCTGTCTCCACGGCCCCCTTGCTCATTTTTCTTTAAACAAAAAACCAAACAACCTCATTCTCCCAGCCTTTCACAGAGCTCTGGCATAGCAGGCCTGGGGCTGTTTTCTCCATAAACATGTCTTTGCAGGGAAGGACGGACAGACAAACTGATGAACAGGGCAGGGCAGGGGTATCCCAAGGCCGAGTGACAGCTGATGCTCTGTGCCCCTCAGCTCCTGTTCCAGCGCTCAGACGGCCCTTGAAGGGACTGGGCTAGGCCACTGCGAAGGCTCCCAGGCCCGGGGACACTCAGCTTCCCCCTCCAGCCCAGACACGTTCCCGGGACCCTGGTACCAGCAGCCAGGGAACTCCCGAGAAGAGGAGGCCCGAGCTTCCAGGTTACTGGGGGTCCTCCCACCTCACACATAGTCAACAGCTGCCTAGAGGGCAAGGACTGGGTCCTATATTTACGGCACCTGTGGGCTGGGGGCAGGTGGGCCCGGGGCCCTCGACCCTTTACGGAGCCCAGGTCCTCTCCTGGACACGGTGGAGGGGGGTGGTGGTGGTCCCAGCTGTCCCTCTTCTCCCAGGACAGAAACACAGGGGAGCTGCTTGCAGCAGCTGACCCAAGCTGGTTTGCTGGGAGGACAAGACAAGAGGGAGCCCCTCCGAGCCCAGGCCTGCTGCAGCTGCACTGAGATCAACCACCTTTCAGGAAGCATCTTGTGCCCACCTCACTCCCCCCCACCCCCAAAATTTGCCCAAGACGCTTTGGAGTGGGTTATAAAACAGGCAAGTGCCGAGGAAGGTGCCTCAGCCATGGGACCAGAGAAGGGGCTCCATCCTGAGCTGCGGGGGGTGTTTACCACTTAAGAAAAAGCATGCAAAAAAAGCTTCGGGTGGAATTTCAAGTCCTGGAGATTTCTCAGTAGCCGGGCCTCTCCCCATCGTATTTCTTTCTTTCCTCCCCTCTCCCGGCCTGCTTTCCCTCTTTGTTGCCAAGCTCAGACGACACTGCAGAAACCCAGCCCAGCGCCCACGAAGCCCGGAAACTTCCAGCTCCGCGACTGTGCGGAAAGTTGGGGTCGCGGGACCGGGGTGACAGCGGCGCCGCGGGGCCGCGTGCGGCGTGACCCGGGCCGGCGGCCTCTCGCGGCCTCGCTCTGCGCGGCCGCGCCGGGACCTCGGACAGTCCGCCGGCCGGACGTGAACTTGACTCCGGCGGGACCGCGGGGCACTCCGGGATGACCTGGTAAGCGGCGCCCGCTCTCCCGCCCTAGCCCTCGGCGCCCCCCGCGGCCGGCGGGGTCCGGGGCCGGGGGCCGGGCCCAGGCTCGGGCCGGGAGGGGGCGCCCCGGGGGGCGAGCGCGGGGGGCGCCGCCGCCGCCGCCGCCGCCGTGACCGTGGCCGCCATGGAGCGCACGGCTCAGCCCGCGGCCCTCCGCCCAGCGAAGCCGCCCGCCCCGGCCTCCTCCCGAACAAAGACTCGGGAAGTTCGGAAGGGAATCTTTCGCGACATTTTCGTCCCCGGGCCGCTGGGTCTGGGCGGCGGCCATCAGGGCTCTTAAAGGGGAAAGAAGCTCGCTCTGGCTTTCTCTCCCCTTCGGCCGGCCTTGCGCGGCCCCCACCCGCTTTGGCTGGAGGGAAGAAGGAGGGGGCACCGGTGCCACTCCGGCTTTCAGGTGTTAAAGCCCCAGGCCCGGGCCTGCCAGGGGCTGCACGCGGATCAGGGCCTGTGGGGTGAGCGACCCCCATAGCTCAGGGGAGGCAGCCCTGGCCCACCTGCGCAGTTGCCCCCGGGCCGCTGCAGTGCGAGCGGGTCCCGGGGGACTCCAGGCGGCTACTGCGCCTGGCCCGGCCCCCCTGCCTGAGCGGCTTCCCTGTGGCCATCCTGGGGGACCTTCCCCAGGGGGGAAGGACCTTCCCCAGGGGGGCACCCCTAGCCACCACCTCCTCTCTGCTCTGCCCAGGGCAGCTGTGCCAAGGCAGCCTCGGTGCCACGCTGCTATGGCAGCTTCAGGGACACAGCATGGCAGCTGTGGTCAGGGCCTGGGGAGGAGGTGGCGCCTGGGCCCTGTGGGGCCTTGTCCCTGGGGAGCAGAGCTGGGGACACTGGCGCCTCCACTTGCCTCTGCCCACAGGCCCAGGACCCCCTCCGGCCGGTTTCTCTGCACCCTCCTCCTCCCTTTGCCTGAGACAAGGCCACCTGTGAGTGGCCTGATCCCTGGGGGGCGCCTACGGGGTAGGCGGTGGCAGGGCCTCGGCAGCCCCCTTGAGTTTGACTGCCCCCCTACCCCGTCCCAGCCCCGGTCCCCCAACCACAGCAGGGAATGCCTGGCTGGGCCTGCTCTCAGTCACGGACAGGTGCCCAATCTTCCAGAGGTCGTTGTTAACCTCACCTCCATCCCCAGGGCACCTGGACCCCAAAGTCCCCTTCGGTGAAAGGCTACAGGGGGGCCATGGATGGAGAAGGCCTAGGCCAGCCGGGGGCTGGACAGGTCACTGCCCTCTGTATCCTGGATGCTCCAGCAGGGGCCTTGAACAGACAGCCTACAGGGGTCAGGTGGGGTGCAGGGGAGAGTTTTGGGGACTGGGGGAACAGAGAGCCCAGGCCTGCCCTAAGGGGAGGGAGGCCTCATGCCGGCTCCCTCCAGTTGCTGCCACGAGGGGAAAGGCCTAGGGTTCCAGAGCTTCTGGCTCTCCAGGAGAAGGAAATCCAGATTTGTGCATAGAATGCCCAGAATTTGAAAACCCCGAATGCAGGACAGAGGAAACACATCCTTGGGTGAACCCAGCCTGTTGCCCCCCGGGTTACAACCCCTGGGTCCGTGTGAGCTGTTTCTTTTTTTTTTTTTTTTTCAATTTTGCGTGGCATGCAGGATCTTGGTTCCCCGACCAGGGATCAAACCTGCACCCCTGCAGTGGAAGCGCGGAGTCTTAACCATTGGACCACCAGGGAAGTCCAACATGAGCTGTGTAATGTTAAAAGAGAGGCAGGTTTCCTAGTGACCCCCGCCCCAGCCCAAGCTCTGACAAGGAAGCCCTATAGACCTGGGGCGCAGAAAGGGAGGAGAGTTTGCACCTCGTTTACCCCTCATCATGACGGAATCACGGGGAGGTGTTGGCCTCCACATACTGAGTCCTTCTGGCAGCTGAAGCTGGCTTGCCTCTGTAAGCCCTGATCTGCTTAACCGAGCTGATTTGAAGTTAAAATCTCCCTAAAACAAGGAACCCGACTTACCCTGGCCCCAGATCCTCTGGGGAACCTCTCCGTCCACTCAGGCTGTGCCTGAGGTGCTCTGTGAGTAACGAAGGAGGAGCAGGATACGGAAAGTGAACTTGAACTTTCTTCACATCCCAGGCAGTAGAGCCGGCGCTAGTTTGGAAAGCTTGGGCTTATGGTTGCACTGAAGGGCTGGCTCTTCTGTGAGCCAGGTCTGCACTCAAGACCCTTGCCTTGTGCTAGCTGGGTGGCCCTGGGCCAGTAACCTCAACTCTCTGAGCCTCAACTTCCTCACTCCTAAAACGGGCTTAATAAGAGTTCTGATTCAGTGGAGTCTTGGGGGAGAATTGTGATACCCGTGTGGACGCTCAGCGTGGCACTCACATGCAGAGGCACTCAGGAAATCTAGCCTCTGCTATTTGACTGTAGTTGAGGGGGACCGTGGCTTCTCTAACACGGCACCTGCTTCTGGGGCAGCTCTTGAATTTCTCAGATCTCATGTCAACTCTCAACTGCTTGCCTCTCCCCACTTTTTGTGTTTCTTTCCTTATCCCAGAAGAAACCATCACCAAGGCCCTCCCCTGCATTTATAGGCCTATGCTGAGCACAGGGGGTCGAGACGTGAGTCTGACGTTGGCCCTGCCTTGAGAATCTGCCGGATGCCCTGTGCAATTATAACACCAGGATGAGGCTCTCTGAGCTAACTTTCCATCCAGAGAAGGTGTTTCCTGCAGTGCTCCTGCTGCCGGCCGCGTAGTCTCTGTTGAATGCCCCCAGGGACGAGCCGTCTCTGTTGAATGCCCCCAGAGACGAGCAGCTTACCACGTCTCTAGCGGTGTTTCTGCAGAAGCTGTAGGAGGAAGCCTCCTAGGTATCCCTGAGCCTTCACTGGTAGGACCGGATGTGGGACGGGACTGCAACAGTGGTTCTGGGTCTGAGGCATCTGGTTTTCCCGGGGAAAATACACAGCTGGTAAGAAGGTCCTAAAAACTTGGTGAGGTTCTGATTTCAGTCTCCAGGGAAAGCACTGCAAGTGATGGATGCATGTGTTTACAAAACAGAGCCCCAGTTCCCATTTCTGCCGACAGTCGACAGTCGGTGTAGCAAGGAGAAGCAGGAGAGAAGGGGTCACAGAGTGGGAAATAAGACAAACTGACTGCAAAAAGCTGGCTGCTGCACTCAGGAAACTGGAAAGTAAGGTCCAGGATCCAGAGGCCCAGGGCTCCTTGCTGGGAATGGCTACGTCAATGCAGAGCCCAGTGCAAAATTAAAATGGGGGGCGGGGGCTTCTTCAAAAAGTATTAAGCGTTTCAGGATGGCGACAGCAGAGCATTAAAGCAAGTGTGAATGCAGGGCTTGAATGCAGGACTTTGCTGAGTGTGGAGCCCTGTGTGGCAGAGAGGCCACAGACCGCCCCCCACTCCAGCCCCGCCCCAGCTGGCCCGGCTCGCTGCACGTGTTCCTGCCGCATGCCGAGGGCTGGGGAGGACCCGCGGGCAGCTCCGTGGAAGGAGCATGACTCCTCTCCTGCATTGATTTTTTTTTTTTTTTCCATCACTGATGTTACATGCTAATTTTAGAACATTTTGAATCCTCATAAAAGAAGAAAGAAAGTTTTCAATCACCTGTGAAACCACCCTCAGAAATAACTAGTGGGAACACTTTACCTAGCTTCTGTAAAAACATAATTTTAAGCAAAATTAGCATCTTAGCATCTGATTATATGTATCATTTTATCTTCTTCTTGTTTCACGAAATATTTTATCACAACTTGTTCCCTAAATCAGAAGATACTGTTCTGCAAGTTGGTTTTTAATGGCTCTTTAATATTCCATTGCTGAAGCTCTTTAACTAACCCCTTATTATTGGACGCTTAGGTTATTCCCAATTATTTCCAGTTTTCCCTGTTGTGAACAACGTTTTGGGGAATGTCTGTGTGCACATTTCTGCTTATTTCCTAAGGGATTGAAGGCTGTTAGGAGAGACCTTTAGGTTCCAGAAGCCTTTGGAGGTTGTCTGAAATTCCACCTCGGCCAGGGGCACAGCCCCCGGCCCCCTGCACAGTGACGGTACTGAGGCGATAACCTGCCTGGCATCTTTTGACTTTTAGAGAAAAACCCAACCCTCCCCAGAGCTGACTTGACTGGGCAGTTTTGAGCACGCACAGCACCGGCTGCCACGTCCACAGCCACCCTGTGAGGGGCTGTAATCAGCCCGCTTTACAGATGAGGACCCTGGGCCCAAAGAGCAGAGACGGTGGCCCAAAGACCTTCCGCCTGTCCTACTGTGAGAAGGCACATTAATGGTTACGAAACAGGAAGTGGACCCTCGTCCTACTCAACTGCTGGTAGGATCTAGGGGTCCAGGCTGCCTCGACCACTGAGCCTGTCAGGCTGGGGGTGGAACGAGATGAGGTTTATCATGATGCCTGCTCATGGGCGATGCTCTGTAAGTGGTGGCGAGGGGTAGGGGGAGGAGGTGGGATGGGGTGGGTGGGTCAAGAGGTGAG